TAATTGTGATTTAGTGACACATTTATTGAAGACAACACATGAAGTAATCAAGTTCCCCAATTTATATCAGTTGCTGCTTGGATCTCTGCCTTGCCTGACTCACATTTGCAGTGACAATGTTGAGCGCATTGAGTTCCCTCAGTTACGGAAAATGTACTTCTATAGGTTACGTGAGTTCCAAAGGTTCTTTCCTACAGCCATCAATGACTCAGATCCTCTTTTTGATGAAAAGGTTAGCTTCTTATCACAAAAATATTGCTTACAAAGTCTATTGCTTTGATATATCCTTTTTGTCTAACAAGTGAAAAAATAATTTTAAATTAGTTTTTTAATTTGTTATTTAAAAAATCCATATAAGGCTATATTTGATGTGAATTTTTTATTCAACGGTTAATTTAAGTTTTAAATATCTCCCTTAAAAATATATTAACTTATAATTATTTGAGTTTCATATTCTTATTTCATTTTTTTAGTTGTGAAAATAAATAGATATGGAAAAGAAGAAAAAGGAAGAACAAATTTTAAGACTTTTTTTTTTTGTAGCTATATTGTGATTTATTTTTTGAAAAAAGGTCAATAATGCCTCACTTACCTAAAATGATCAAAAATGCCCTCAATTTATAGTTTAGTCCAAAAATATTCTTGCCCTCACTACTTTAGTAAGAAAATGTTCTTGCCGTTGATAGTTTGTTCTGGAAATGTTCCTATTGTTACTACTTGAGTCAAAAATATTTCTTTCCGCACAAATCTTATTCCTATTAAAAGATATTACTGTTAAAGTACTCTATTATTGTTTTCTTTATTTTAAAATTACTTTAACTATTAAAAAATGTACCCTTTATACTGATAATATATATCTTATATATAAGATCATAGTAAATCAACCATTAATTTTTATTTGGATATTTATAATAAAATAAGAAATGTTTTTAGTATTATTATTTTCCAATTGAAGTAGGATTAACATTTGTCCACTTATGACCTAGTGTTTTGTTCCAATAGCTCCAACTGTATCTGCAACAAAGTTTGATACTTCAAAGTTCGCAGGTTTCTTGTCCCAACCTAGAATACCTAGATATTAGTGGGCCTAACAGCATAAGTGCTCTATGCTCTCACCAACTTCCAACTGACTACTTCACCAAACTTCAAAGACTGATAGTATGGAATTGTGGAAAATTGAGAAACTTGATGTCTCCATCAGTGGCCAAAGGTCTTCTTAATCTCCAAGTGTTATGCATAACAAATTGTGAATCAATGGAAGAAGTGATCACAAAAGAGGAACAACAAGGAGAAGGAATCATGACCTTATTTCCCCTCTTGGACGAACTGAAGCTTAGCGGGCTGCCTAAGTTGGAGCATTTCTTTTTGACAAACCATGCCCTTGAATTTCCATTTTTAAGAAATGTGGATATTGATGACTGCCCTGAAATGAAGACGTTTGTTCAACAGGGAATATCTGTGAGTACACCGATTCTCAAAAGTCGTGATGAGGTGAAAGTAGATGATCTCAATAAATGGATACAGCAGGAGTTCAATAACAAGGTATGTCTTATTCCGCTAGCTATATAAGTAATTGCTACAGATGACGACGAAGCTGAACCTAGTCATGCCAGAAGTTAGGAAGCTGGTAGGAAAAACTCAATGAAATAATGCAAGTAAAACCTCGAACATCACCTGATACCTATGCTCGTGATGGAGGTAATTAACAAGCAGAGGTGGATCTACATTATTGTAACCTATCGGTTCATGTCAACCTACTAGCTATTGGCTATAGATCTAGTATATGTATTAGTAATATCTAAAAAATAGTTGATTGTGATATAAACTTGAGGTCACTGCAGAATTCTGTAAACTATAAATTTGGATCCGCCTGTGATTCTAAGTTCATCTTTCATTATA